TCCAAAGTAAATTTAAGAGAATTTTGGATGACACCAAAATACATCAGAGAAGAATACCAAAGTACAGACTACGAAAGTCTCATGTAAAATTAAGTGCTCTGAGGACCGATTTCTTCATCTTCGCTTAAATCTTAAACCAGGTTCACCTACATAGTTAAACTTGTCTTAACACATACGAGCGTTTTTTTGATTATTGTTTAAATTATTAGAGCATGCATGAGCATAAGCATGATTGACCACCCACGGTTGCTACTCTGTTATTGCCAGACCAGCTGTAATTACACAGAGAACCAATAGACGATGCTTGGGACTAGCAATCATCCTCAATGTGTAAAAACTGGTGATCTCAAACTAGGCAATACCAGCGCCGGCCGCGCCCGAACACAGGTCAAGAAAGGAAGGGGTAGGAATGTGTTGACGTGACACTCGCTTTGATGGAAGCCGAGAACACCTCTGCACTTCCACGAGGAATCACTGGGATATTGGGTAATAGGGTTGGGTTTGCAGCAGGGTTCGTTTTGGTGAACGATAAGCTGAATTGATGTCCTAACAATCATATAACGCGAAGGAGCTTGGGATTGAACCCACGGTCTTCTGCTCAGTAAGCAAAAACGTTTGCACTAGGCAGACGAGCTCCTTTTTTTATCATCGAGTTGCTGTTATTACCATGTAGTAATGTTAACAAATAAAACGATTTAAGAATCTTGAATGTGGATGGGCTTGAGATTAGACTCATGATGTTCTGCTCAGTAAGCAAAACCGGTTGCTCTAAGGCCACCGAGCCCCTCATATCACATTATAGCGTTACTCAAGTTTTTATGACTATTCAGACACGGCACCGACGACAACGAAAAGTTTTACGAAATACACGATAAACAAGCGATCTAACCATACATTTTTAATATGAAAGGATCTGGGACCGCGTTTTTCTGCTCAGTAAGCAAGCCACTGCAACCGACGATCTTTGAAATCCTTAAACTAAAAGCTATGAAAGAGGCCTTCATAAAGGTCCATTTTCACGCGACGTTAAATGTTTCGATTTTCTCTTTACGCATGGTTAGCTATGACCGACGTTACGATTGTTTAAGACCTGGTTGAACAAGCTATTCAAATGAAATTACGTTCTCGAATTTTACTTGGCATGTAATGAACAACAGAAATACGCGATAATTCATATTTTCAGCGGTTGGTGGTTAATTTTAAATATACTAACGGTACTGCCTACGACTACGACGGCGATTACGACAGCGACAACAGCGAATTTGTAACTTACCATTTGTCTAGGATAAACACCTTTGCCCGGCACCTCCATTGGTTCTTCATGTCCGCTATCTGTCACTGTTTGCAAAATATCTAATAGCAATTACCTTCCAATACCAATACTTCCTGTATTGCCATGGTCATCTGGGAGGAGGGTCGCATCTAGTGCTTTCCCCAGGAACCGTTCACGGCCACCAGCTACTGCCCGTCCAGTCTTGGGCGTATCCAGCGAGGCATCCTTCAGATTACTTACAATCTCCCACACTCAATGCAAATCGCAGGCACACTTACGCTAGTTACAAAAAAAAACACACCCGTGCAAAGAAACGGATCAAATAAACGTCACTCTCGCGAAAGCACACCCGTCGTCGTCGAACGGCAAAAAAAAAGGAATCGGTGGGCAATTTTGTGATACGGATTTCCAAAATCAACCGGGAATGCACGAATTTCACCACACCCAACTACGAAACACGTTCAGAAGCACTTTTGGTACACTTTCGTTCGAAAATAATTTTTTTTTTTTCAAAAATGGTTGCGGGTGAACCAACATCATCACCGCGTAAATAAACTAAAATTAAAATTATCGCTCGCGATGCCACAAATTTCTGGACCGGGAGAAAAAATCAAATAACGCAAATAGATGAATCATGTTTTCTTTCTCGATTCTAAAACTTCTCGGAAAGCGAGAAAACCACCACTCACACACGTGTAACCGTCTGGGAGGCAGAGTGCCAGCGCTAATCCGGCAAATGCAGCCAAAAACTATGAAAGCTAATGCACGCACAAAACAGAGAAGAAACTCAAGACACAACCGTATCCAAAGGCGTTCGAAACTCGACTCCTATTGTTTAAATTATTAGAGACGCAAAATTCGGCTCCGAAACATTTTTTGAAATAATTCCAATATAATTGAGAGTGAATTTTAACGAGAGTTCTGAGAAGAATGATTGGATGAGGATTCTAGGTCCAATTCTAAAAAGAATTCAAAATTTGTTCTGAAATTTTGCTTAACGGAACTCTGATGAAAGTTCAATGAAAATCCCGTGAACTCCAAAGATGGTTTCTGCGGATAGTTCTAAAAGAATTCTGGGGTGATTTCTGAAGATACTTTCAAGAGAATTCTTAAGTGTTCGAAATAAATTCTGAGAAGAATTCCAATGGAATCGAATTTTGAGGGTTTAATCTCAAAGGAATTCTGAGAAGATTTTCATAGTTATTCTGTGATGGATTTTTGTTTTGAGAATTCTGAGAAAATACTATGGGAATTCTAAGAAGAATACGAATTGAATTTCCAATTGAATGCAAGGGAGAAGTCCAAGATTATTCTAAGCAGAAATTTATGAAATTTCTGAGGTCAATTGTATGGAAATTCTAAGGAGAATTCAAAATGGATTTATGGAAGGAGCCTTCAGGGAGTTCCTAGAAGAATCAATAAAAAACGAAAATAATCTACTTCAACTACTTACTTCATGCGTGAATTTTACGATTTACATAGTCGGAGATGCGTAACGTCAAATATCAGACTTAAAGTGGAGATTTTATACGATAGATGAGGCGATTAAATTACAGAGTTGATAGTTCCGGCAGTGTGAAAATCGTATGTACAAAGTAGAAAGCGTACTATAACGGAACTATCAACTCTTTACTTTCATCTCCTCATCTATCGTAAAAATGTCCACTTTAATTCTGATATTTGATGTTAAGCATTTCCAATTTCGAATATAATCTATTTCCAAGAATTTTGTAGCTGTTCTGCAAAGAATTTCAAGAATGCAATATTATTTTTGTAAAAGCTTATTTGCCTCTAAGTTTAAGAGAAGGGGAAATATTCTAAAAACAAACTTGAGATCATTCTAAAGACATTCTGTAAAAAGAGCGTATTATCAAAGTTATCTACCTAGATATAACAAAATTTTAAAAATAAATTCAAGATCATAAAAAAATGGGAATTACTATTTGCTAGTCATCATGTATAACGTAAGCAAAAGTAAATTATTCAAATCACTTCAAATGCTCTTCACATGAGATTCCGTTGTGAGATTCGATTAAATTAGAAGAATTAATGACATTTGATTTTAAGTTTCATCACATAAAAGTTTTTTTTTCAATATCAAACCGTATTTGAATTTCTATGTTACCATATAAATGGATACTTATTTAGTATTTACAAGTCACTATTTGGTCACTATTTCCGTAATTTTAGTCACTAAAGTCACTACTATTATATCGAATCATCACTACCAGCCCTGTATAGACCGAATGGAGAATCGAACCCGCTGCCTCGGGCTTGGTAATACCATAGAGGTAACTCTAAGACCAGAAGGTCCCGAAGAAACGTGCTCAACTTTTAGGCTAAGCTCTGGTACTATCTTCGGTCCCAAGCTAATCGATGAACCCCTCGAAACATAGGAAAATCCACGAACCCCTCATTTTATCTGTCAAACTTTCATAGCGAATCAAAACAAACATAGTGTAGTACTGGAATTTATACAAGAATGGGGTACGTTAATCGATTTGCTTGGGACCAATAGGCCAATGAGCTGGATTACCGAGGTGAAGCAATCACTCACACAACCACTGTACGATACACGCAAGTACACGCAAGTAGTGACGTCACTACTTGCGTTTACGTTGATTTTTTGGTTTACTAATACAACCCTATTTCACGATCTGCGCCACCTCTCTCTGTACCTCATTGCCAATAGGCTAGTCAAGTGGTGAGCCAATTTAAAATCGTTAGTTTCGTATTGATTGTTGGTAATACCAACAATCAATACAAAACTAACGATTTTAAATTGGCTCACCACTTTAGTAGCCTATTGGTCCCAAGCAAACGATTAACGTACCCTATTCTAGTTGAAATTCTATTACTACACTATGTTTGTTTTGATTCGCTATGAAAGTTTGACAGATAACATCAGGGGTGTGTGGATTCATGCAGAACATGCAGGGGTGAGTGAAATAGCTTGGGACTGCTTGGGACCGTTGTTCTGGTACTGAGTGAGCCAAAAATAATAATGATTTTCTTCGGGACCCAGTGGTCTTAGAGTTACCTCTATGGTAATACCGTGCCTTTACTAAGTAGGGTATCCTGTGCCATCTAGTTGATGGGTTTTTTGTCGTTTTTTTTTTCACCGGTCCGCCGGTTCAAATAAATGAAGCCCCACCCAAATCTGTCTATGATTATCGAGATAGACCGTGGAATAACGAGAAAAGTGGCTACACATATCGAATTATGGAGGGTTGAAAATCATTATTAGAATCATGGACGTAATCAAACGTCAAATTCGCATCCCAGAATGGAACCTTCCATCGCTCAGCTTGAACGGCTATTGGGAGGCTTCAGTCTGCATCTACAGCGTGCACACTTCACGATTTTGTCTTCATAACTCCCGGCTAATTAGATTTTCTTTGGCAGAAAGGTAACTGCAAAGCTCGCTGCAAAGCCACTGACCTTTGATCTACGCCATGCTGCCTATGCACAGTGGCATAAATATTTGTGTGCAACAAGTGCACCATGCAAATCAATTGTCCACAGCACTGAGGTGTTCCGTGTTTAGTGATCTTTTCAATTTCCGTTGTTTTTTTTTCAATTCCGTTAGCGTTTCTTATTCCATTTAGATTTCTCACAAATTCCTCCATTTAAATTCTATAATTTGCGTTTATTCGTTTATGGAAAATGCGCTGTATGTAATCCAATACTCACTCAAAACTGCTCTTTCCCCCTCACACTGTCCCAGATACAAATGCTACAGCTGCGAACCGCCCGACTGTGCCGACACGACGGCCCACGCCCACCTCTGCCAGAATGCGATCCAGTGCTGGAAATCGCGGATCCGCGACCAGTACGGACACGAAAGCGTTTCCCGCGGGTGCACCACCACACACGAGCAGCTTCCCCTGTACTGCAATCCGAATCTGATGAACAGCAGCGGACCGAAGAAACGGCACGCCTCCGGGACGTACAACATCGAGTGCTGCATCGGCGATTACTGCAACAACGGGAGCTTTCCCGCACTGCCGCCGGTTGAGTATGGAAGTGAGTTGCTTTGCTTTAAGATTTTCGCAAAGAAGCGTTTCATTGAATGCGAACGATTCTTTCCAGATGAAGTGATGAAGCTGGAGACTTCAACCTACCCCTTGAAACTGACGATGGCCATCCTGGGTCCGGTGCTGATATTGGTCATTGCCGGAACAATCGCGTGGTGCTTCATGCGCAGATCACATCGCAAACGACTCATGGCCACCAGGAGTAAACACGATCCGGAAACCTACTACGCCAGTGATGAGATTCTGAGGGCAACCAGTGCCGGAGACAGTACGCTGCGGGTAGGACTGCACTGCCGAATGGTTTTTTTTTTTTGTGCTTGGTTAATCAATTTTTATGATTACAGGAATACCTACAACATTCGGTCACATCCGGATCGGGTAGTGGTCTACCGCTGTTGATCCAGCGAACGCTTGCTCGACAGGTATCACTGTGCGAGTGTATCGGCCGGGGACGATACGGGGAGGTTTGGCGGGGCATCTGGCACGGGGAAAGCGTTGCCGTCAAAATCTTCTTCTCGCGTGATGAGGACTCCTGGAAGCGGGAAACGGAGATCTACAGGTTTGTTATGCACTTCAATTTTTTGCTTTCTGAAAATTTAAGCAAGTATGTTTTCGATTCCAGTACGGTCCTGCTGCGGCACGAGAACATCCTCGGCTACATTGGTTCGGATATGACCTCGCGCAACTCGTGCACCCAGCTGTGGCTCATCACACACTACTACCCGCTGGGGTCGCTGTTCGATCACCTGAATCGGACTGCCCTGAGCCATCACCAGATGGCGACGATTTGCCTTTCGATTGCCAACGGTTTGGTGCACCTGCATACCGAGATCTTCGGAACGGAAGTAAGTATGGGTTTGACGCGGCGTGGATGTTTCTAAAGCTTTGTCTGCTTTCCAGGGCAAACCGGCGATCGCTCATCGTGACCTGAAAACGAAGAATATCCTGGTGCGTATCAATGGGACGTGCGTGATAGCGGACTTCGGACTGGCCGTGACGCACAGCCAGACGACGAACAAGATCGACATAAGCAACACGGCACGGGTCGGAACGAAGCGGTACATGGCTCCGGAGGTGCTGGACGAAAGGTATGCTTCCTTGCAATGCTCTAGTTGTAGCTATCTACTGCTTGTGGTACTGCCAGGAAATTTTTGGAGACGTTGAGAGGTCTTTCTGGAGAACTTCAAAGTGTAGGGAATGTTTGTTAGACAGCAGAAGTTTCTGGAAATTTTCTAAATCACGAACAGCAAGAAAGATTCTTTTGTGAAGTTGGGGTCATACTTAACCCTCTCCTTCCCATGGTAGCACAGGTGATCCACAACTTTAATGGTCCGTTTAATGTTACCATTAAATAGTCAGTACTTATTTAAGCTCCTCCGTTTGCTCACTATTATTTGTAATATATAATTTATAACACAAGCGTTCATGTAAAGTTCCATAACGATTTCAGTTAAAGTTAAGCAGGGATTATAAACAATTTTTAACCATTTTCGGTAAGGTCAAGTTATGGTTCGCGTTTATGTGGGAACAGGGTGTCTACTACCTGGAAAAACCTGGAAAACCGGGAATTTACAGGGAATTTTATTTTTTTCTGGAAAAACCTGGAATATTCAGGGAATTTTGGTTCCACTCAGGGAATTTTCCAATTATCACTCCATTCGTAATTCAAAAGAAGTTTTTCGTTCAGTTTCTCGAAACGTTTCTTAAGGACACTGGATTTGACAAGCATCTGACATCTAAGACAACGTGTGCGAACAAGACAAGTTCATTCAGAGAGTCTTGTCACGCTCGCTCTTCGCTGATTTGTATGTGGAGGATCAAAATCGTCGTAAAAGGAAACAGCCGAAAAAGAGAGACTGGCAAAAGGAAGCATACGAAACATGTATTGTATAAAAATAAGCATGCCAGACAGCAGGTCTGAGAGCCTACATAGATTTTTTTTTTTTTTTGAGCTTCAGAGAGGGTCGGAGATCTACTGAGAAATTTGTTGAGCTTCAGGGTAGTTCATAGATCTTGAGAACAGAACTACAAACAAATTGAAAGTAATTAACAGAAATTCATAAAAACAACATCACAAGAGAGGTCGTAGATATTCAGATAAATGTTCAAAGAAATTTTCAAAACTTCAAGCAAGCAAAAATAATTTCAAATCAATTTGTAAAACTATAAGCGAAATTTTGCAAATCTTCAGGGAAATTTGCAAAACTTCAGACAAGTCCAAGAATCTACAGTGAAATATAAAGTATTTCACAGAAGTTTGGAGATCCTCGAAACATTATTCAACATCAGAAAAGTTTGTAGATCTTCAGAACAAAGTTACAGAACTTTGAAAAAAATTACAGGATTTCTGAAAAAAATCACAAGAGTCTCAGAAATGTTAATGACTCTTCAGTAAAAATTGCAGAACTTCAGGGAAGTTCGGCGCTTTAAAAAAAAATATTTACACGATTTCAGGAAAATTTTTAGATCTTGAGAGAGACATTTAAAACTTCAAAGAAGCTCAAATATTTTCAGATAAATTTTGACAACTTGAGGTAATCTTCAACGAAATTTTCAAATCTTCAGGGTAACCCGAGAGGAATTTACAAAACATCAGAGAAGTTTGCAGATCTACTGAGAAATTTATTGAGCCTCAAGTTTTTATTTGTAGATCTTGGGAATAGAGCTACGGAGCTTAAGACAACTTTACAGAACTTTAAAGATATTTGCAGGAATTTGACAGAAAGTTTCACAGTTTCACACAAATGTGAGATCTTTAGAAAAATTCGTTAAATGTCAGAAAAGCACCTCAATTCCAAAAACAAATCGCAGCGAAGTACAAAAGTACAATATTTTGCAGAACTCCATGGAAGTCGGAAATAGATACACACCAAAAAATTCTGAATTTTACTGGCGATGTAAACATCCATGCATGCAAACATTAATACATGTCACGTAAACTAGCAACTTGCAAGAAATGTTGCAAACAAAAGTGGACAGTTGCATACAATATATGGGATATTACATGACTTGTTTCATAAATTTACACGATCTATAATCTAAACTTGTATGATATATGACGCTCCATTTATGTGCATCATAGTAACGGAAATTTACACTACTTTTTTTTTAGCTGTGTAGATCTAAAGAACTTCAGAGAAGTCCGTAGACCTTAAAAGAAGTCCGTAGACCTTAAGAGCAGTCTGTAGAACGTCAGAAAGTTCGTACGTTTTTAGAAAAATTTGCAAAACTTCAGCAAAACTCACAGATCTTCGGGAAAGTTCGCCGATCTTTAGTTCAAGAATCCACAAAGAAATTTAAAGAACTTTAGAAAAGTTCGGAGATCTACTGTGAAATTTATTGAACTTCAGGGCAGTTCGTAGATCTTTAGAGCAGAAATACAGTACTTCAGAAAACTTTACAGAATTTGAAATAAATTTTAGGATCTTCAGAAAAGTTCAGAGGATAGATCGTAAATCTACTGAAAAATTAGCAGACGTTTGAATAAATTTTCAGAATTTTACTGCGGTTCTTGGATTTTCAAAGACATTTACAGAACTTCAGGTAAGTTCGCTGATCTTTAGAGATATTTGCACAGCTTCAGAAAAATTAGAAAAACTTCAGAATACTTCCTAAAACTTCCGGAAAGCTCAAACATTTCTAGATAATCTTTTAATTCTTTAGAAAATTGTATAGATTGTCAGAGATATTTGCAGATATTCATTGAATCATGAAAATCTGCAGAGAAAATTACAGAACTGGCAAGAAGTTTGTAGATTATTAGAAATTTTGTGAACATCAGAGATAATTGTTGATCTTCAAGGATCTTAAATCTTCAGAGATTCAGGAACTTTGTAGATTTTTAGGAAAATTTGCAGAACTTCTGAAGAACACACAGAGCTTCAAATAAATCTGTTGAACTACCGAGAAATTTACATATTGTCAGGAAAGATTGTTGATCTTTAAAGAAATTTTACCGGAGAACAGAAACAAAACTTCAGGGACGTCAGAAGGTTTGAAGACCTTGCAGAATTGAGTTGTTAACAGAAATTTTCAGAACTCAAGGAATCATGTATATCTAGTGAGAACTTTTCCCACTAGCTTGTCTAAAGTTGGTATCGACATCGTGGCGAAGTTTTGAAATCCATTTCCATCTACATATCGCAGCGCTTGATGGACAAGATGAGCCAGATCCCTGCCGGTGTTCCTCCTGAGCAACTATTTCCTACTCCACAAAGTTCACCTTCTCTTCCTCATTTTATTTAAAATAATAAAAGCAAATACGTCTGCCGAAACTAGAGCAATTTTCCGGTAATTCATAATGGAAGTATTTACTTTTGATTCCTGATACAGTTTAGTTTTGAAATCTAAATTGGCAGTTCTTTCGACATGTGCAAGCAGTGTGAACACCAGCACAGGGGGGTTCGACAAAGTGTGTTGAAAGTAAATTCGAGCAGATTTTTCATTATGGCGGCGGTCAAAGTCAGACCAAGAAATCAGATAGTCTAAACGGACCTTAAGAGATTTTAGACATGTGAAACCATGATTTATTCTGTGTTGATCTTCCAAACAGAGTTGAACTCAAACAAATTATCAAAATGCTATGTTGTTTTTGAAAGCATATTGTTATCAAAATTTGATATATCGTTTTATCGAAATAGTATAGAAAGGTTTCTTACTTATATTTATATTCTTGAATTAAAAAAAATACTACACAAATACCAAAAAAGAATGTAATATTGATTGACGTAATGCATGCTACTGTATGAATAACTAATGTGATTGCAAAAACCAAATACAATATTACACCCTTGGATATAATTTCTTTTCGCAAATTATGTGTAGAATAAATGCACCAATAGTGGAGGTACTTAAGTGCAATGTGTTCTGGTGGCTTATAGAGTCTCCCTAAGCCGCTATAAAAGTACATTACGTTAGTAAAATGTACTTCTATAGCGGCTTAGGGAGACTCTATAAGCCACCATAGGAACACATTGCACTAAAGTATCTCCACTATTGGTGCATTTACTAAACATAAATTGTACAAATTAATATTAAACAACCTATGTGCATCTGTTCTGCTGTAATATTCAATAACTTTTTTGCTGTGCCGACTTATAAGTACCAACGACCAAGTTTGAACAATCGAAAATAACATTAATCAATAAGTACATAAAGGGATTCCAGATGGATAAATAGATAAAATGATAATGTGTATAATTTGTATGCACCTGAAATTTTTTTTCATCCGACCTGGAAAAACCTGGAAAACTCAGGGAATTTGATTCCTTGGATTGAGTAGACACCCTGGGGAAGGTCTAGTTCGAAATTGATTATTTTTGCTTTGGCCTGGAAATGCTCTTGAACAATTTACGGATAGAATCGTACATTGCTGCAAGTCGAGTACGAAATTCATCGCATGATGCTTTAATTTACGACACCCTCTGTCATCAAATAAGTCTAAATTGTAAGCATATCTCACACCTCTCTTTTTCCTCAGCATAAACATGGAGTGCTTCGAGTCCCTGCGGAAAGCGGACATCTACGCCATCGGTTTGATGTTTTGGGAAATCTGCCGCCGTACGCTGTCGAACGGCATTGCCGAAGACTACAAGGTCCCGTACTACGACTGCGTCACGTCCGACCCCAGCTTCGAGGAGATGCGCAAGGTCGTCTGCGGGGACAACTACCGACCGTCGATACCGAACCGGTGGGTCTCCGATCCGGTAAGTTTGAGCCCGCGTTGCTGCTAATTATCGGATCTTCTTAACTGTAACTGTTCCTCCCCTTTCCGCACAGCTCCTCTCCGGCATGGCCAAACTGATGCGCGAGTGTTGGCACGCCAACTCGAACGTGCGCCTGCCGGCCCTGCGGATAAAGAAGACCCTGCTGAAGCTGGCCATCTCGGACGAAACGGTCAAGCTCAACTACGACGGGGAGATTTGCGTTTGATGGCTGCTGACGGTGGTCGTAGGACGAGAGAAAAGTATCAAATCAGACAACAATATCAAATTTGGATCGTCGTCCTTTATGTTAGTTGGCGTGCGTGCGTGCGTGCGTTTGTTGGTACCAGTGGTGAGAAAGTGAGCGTTGGGATGTGCATGCGAAGTCGTAGCGAATGATTGAGTGAGAGGGTTTCAAATGTGTATATATTTTTGTGTATTCTAATTACTAGATTAGAACTGTTAAAACGTACGAGAACCTTTTATCGATTGCCCCCTGTCTTTCTTCCGATCTTAAATTAGTAAAATTGTGTTTTACGTTGATGAAACATCTTTCAGTTGCATAAGTTTTAAATAAATTTCGTTTCGATTTAAAAATTACGTCCTATTTCGATCGGGTTTCAATCGCAAAACAAAGCAGAGAATGCAAAGATCAGACAATGTTCAGTATTATTAACTGAATGTAATACGATAATAATGATAAAATAAACGACAAAGAAAAACACAAAACTAACCTACAACCTTCTACGGATAGACACAGATACAACTATTTACACTCCGATGCGAGGTGGAAGGCAAATGCGCCACTTCATCAGTGAATGATTATTCGACGATCGAGCATTTTTCGTTTTTGTTTTTAGAGGGAAAAACTAAACATCCAAATTAAGTGCCATTTAGTCAACAATAGAGGGGAGTGAATTGCATTGATTTCATACGTAGATTAACACACTGTCAGTGGTAGTTGAAAAGCTCCGTTTTTCGCTGTTGTACATATAGGTCCGGTAGGATGTAGGAAGGAACAGACCATTTTATTTCAAATTTTATTCAAATTAGGTTGGCGTGACGTTTGCTGAAGAATTTGCGAGTGTGTTTCTTTTTTTGTTTTGATAAGTTAAATGAAAACAAGCGCGAATGCCGAGCAAAAAGGAGCAAATTTCTAACAACACATATTTATAGTGAATCGATCTTGTAGCAACCGCGACTCGACGGGAAAGGTTGGGTTCAGTAGATTATTTTAATGTTTATTTTCGAGCAATAAATGATAGGAAGCATAGTTAGTTTATAACAAAAAAATAGCGGCTGGTTAATTCAATCCGAAACATCCCTCGGGGTTTCTTCTACATATCTATCGACGATTCTTGGCAAGGCACGCAGGTTCTGAATCACTTAATCTTAAATAAAGAGTAGTAGGTATCAAACAGCCATTAGCGGTTTTATTTAATTAAATTGAAGTAAGATTTTAGCTAGTTCTATGCAGGTTGTCTACTCATTCTGCTAAATAAAATGCCCTAAGTTTTCCAAGTCCAGTACAGAACTTTCACTGAAAATTTCCATTATTATAAAAAAGCTGTTTCTATTTGTGTTAAAAATATATTATTTTTGGTATAAGAACAACGATTTTAATTGCCATCAGTTTTAAGAGATGAGTTCTACAATAAAAAAAAACATTAAAAGTTGAAGTTTAACATTAACTTAAGTTTACTAAGTCTATAACATAAAAAAAAATCAAAGGCTTAAAGTGTCGAACTCCAAGTCCAAGATCTTGAAAATTTACAAAGTGCCAATATCTCATAATTAAAAGAATTATTATTATTTATTATTTAACTTTATTAAGGAGGCTTTCAGCCTTGGGCTGGTTCGCCTCCAAATAATTAAAAGAATAGTGTCTCAGTCATTTGATTAATTTCGGCCCTTATTACGAGTGTCGCTTGACGGTAGAAACGAAATGAAGTGCCAAGTTGTCATTCACGGTGAAGTCATTCCCTGGCAAATTAAATGGGAATCACTTCACTGAGAGTGAAAAAATGTCAATTGACTTCGTATTCACTCGCTGAATCTTGAAGATTTCTCTAAATCCAGGATCATACAATTTTCTAAGCATGAAATCTAAAAAAAGAAACCTCAGAATTTCCATTTTTTCCCAAACCATTATATATATTTTTTCTGTGCCTAGAATCTTGCAATTTTTCATGGAAAAATTGAATTCCCTTTTAATTTGCTCCATAATACTCTTGAAAATCTACTGCAGAACACTCTCTGAATTCACTCTGCAATGCTCTTCATATTAAACCATGGCCCACTTAGGTAGTAATGGAACAAACTCGTTTGCTTATTACAGCGCTCCTACTTAGTGGACGTTTTCGAAAGCTTTTGACGTCTTTTTGTTGACAACAACAATAACAATAACAGTGTATTTTTTCAGTTAAGCTCTTGTTTTGGAGACAGTCACCATGCAAGAGGAGCATAGAAAAAAAACCGTGCACAGTCACCTGGAAAATCCATCGTGGTCCGCGACCATGCTGGCTAAAGTGTTGATTTTTCCTAGAAACACCGTATGGCGCGTGCTCAAAACGTACAAGGAAACCTTGACGACGAATCGGAAGCCTCAAAGTAAACGCCGGAGTGGAACTGCCAACCTTCAGCTCCATGGAAAGGTCGTGAGGTCCATCAGCGACACTCGTAATACCGTAGAGGTAACTTTAAGACCAGAAGGTGCCGAAGAAACGTACTCAATTTTTTGGCTCAGCTCTGGTACTAACTTCGGTCCCAAGCTAATCGATGAACCCCTCGAAGCATAGGAAAATCCACTAACCCCTCATTTTATCTGTCAAACTTTCATAGCGAATCAAAACAAACATTGTGTAGTACTAGAATTTCGACTAGAATGGGGTACGTTAATCGTTTGCTTGGGACCAATAGGCTAGTCAAGTAGTGAGGCAATTTAAAATCGTTAGTTTCTTATTGATTGTTGATATTACGGGCGGCATCATATGTTTTACCGAAGACATCATATCAATATCTTGATTTGTTGTCTTCGATTTTACATACCTGGGTTGCTTCTAATGGACCTCACGACCTTTTCATGGAGCTGAAGGTTGGCAGTTCCACTGGCGTGAAGATCTTAGGAATTCCGGAATTACCTTGGAATAACCTAAAAAATTTCATAACAATTCTAAGAAAGCCATCGGAATTATTATCAGAATTTTCGTTGAATTCACTTCAGAATTCTCTTTGAATTTAACTTAAGAATACACTTGCAGATTTCCTCAATATTTTATAGATTTCTCCTCAAAATTTGTTTGGCATTCAAGTCAGAACTCTCTTTGAAGTTCTCCTGGAATTATCCTCAGATTTCATTGTAATGCTTCTTTTAGCATACCCCCTAAGTAGTTTTTTTTTAAATCCACATGAAATTATGCTCTGGATATTTTTTCTTGAAATTATCTTCAGAATTCCCATAGATTTCTCCTTTGATTTGCCTTCAAGTTCTCCTCAGAATTACTGTGAAATAACCCTCTGAATTCTCTTCCATTTTTTAAAATTCCTTAGAAATTAACCTGTTTGGTAGCTCGGGACGAGTATTGATAACGTTGTATACTGAATCATTGATTGTTGAGAAATCATTACAAACAAAATTGAAGCCATTGAGAAAATAAACTTTGCAGTAAATTTAATGTTGACTTGACGCTTACAGCACAATTGTGCTTATCCCTTTGTATTTCAGATAAGTTTTACATCTGCCTGTCGAAGAATTTTGTGGTGCTGTACAATTCATAATGTCAAGCCCAGGTAAATATGTTCATGCTCCAGCTTGTGAAAACAACAGAGAGAATTCAGAATAATCAGAAAGCTATGTGTCCAGCCCTGAAAGGTTGCTTACTTACCTTACCAATCAGGCTAAGGCCTTGTTGTCCTCTGCTGTCCGAAGAAGTCGTCTTCACTCTACTCGATCCATGGCCACAGTTCGCCAGCTTCGTAGTCTGCGAAGGGTCCGCAGGTCACCTTCTACTTGGTCGATCCACCTTGCCCACTGCGCGCCTCTTTTTCTTGTTCCTGTAGGGTCGCTTTCTAGAACCATTTTCACTGGGTCGTCGTGCGGCATTCTTACGACGTGCCCAACCCACCGTAGACGCCCAATTTTTGCAATGTGGATGATGGATGGTTCTCCCAGCAGCTGGTGCAATTCGTGGTTCATTCGCCTCCTCCACGTTCCGTCATCCATCTGCACTCCACCGTAGATGGTACGCAACACCTTCCGTTCGAAAATATCAAGAGCACGTTGGTCCTCCACGAGCATAGTCCAGGTCTCGTGGCCGTAGAGGACCACCGGTCTAATCAGCGTCTTGTAGACAGTCAACTTCGTGCGGCGGCGAATTTTATTCGACCGGAGCGTCCTCCGGAGTCCAAAGTAGGCACGATTCCCTGCCATAATGCGTCTTTGAATTTCTCTGCTGGTATCATTTTCGGCGGTCACCAGTGAGCCCAAATACACGAACTCATCGACCACCTCGATTTCGTCACCGTCAATCTGAACTCGGGGTGGGACGCTAACATTGTCTTCCCTATAACCTCTTCCTTTCATGTATTTTGTCTTTGATGCGTTGATGGCAAGTCCAATCCGCCTAGCTTCAGCCTTCAGTCTGATGTACGTTTCCGCCATCGTCTCAAAGTTCCGTGCCATAATGTCAATGTCATCGGCGAAGCCAATGAGCTGGATGAACTTCCTGAAGATCTTGCTACTCGTGTTGAACAACAGACACGAAAGTCCATCACCTTGCCGTAACCCCTTTCGAGATTGAAAGGGACTCGAGAGTGTCCCCGATACTCGAACAACGCACATCACTCGATCCATCGTCGCCTTGACCAATCGCGTCTGTTTATCCGGAAATCCGTACTTGTGCATAATTTGCCATAGCTGATCTCGATCGATTGTGTCGTATGCGGATTTGAAATCGATGAACAAATGATGTGTGGGCACGTTGTATTCGCGGCATTTCTGCAGAACCTGCCGAATCGCGAAAATTTGGTCCGTGGTAGCGCGGGCACCCATGAATCCCGCCTGGTATTGTCCCACGAACTCTCTTGCAAATGGTGACAGGCGGTGACATAGAATTTGGGAGAGTACCTTGTAAGCGGCGCTCAGCAGTGTGATCGCGCGGTAGTTGCAGCAATCCAACTTGTCGCCCTTTTTGTAGATTGGGCATACGACACCTTCCATCCACTCCTCCGGTAATATCTCCTCCTCCCAAATCGTGGCAATTACCCAGTGCAGCGCTCTAGCCAGTGCTTCACCACCGTATTTAATAGCTCACTTGGTAGTTGATCTACACCAGTTGCTTTGTTGTTCTTCAGCCGACCGATCTCCTCCTCAACTTCTTGAAGATCAGGGGCCGGTAGCCTGTCGTCTTCTGCGCGTGCTCCAAGGTCTGTTGCCGTGCCACCTTCGTTTTCTGCTGCTTCACCGTTGAGGTGCTCGTCATAGTACCATCATAGAGGTAACTCTAAGACTAGAAGGTCCCGAAATAACGTGCTCAACTTTTTGGCTCAGCTCTGGTACTCTCTTCGGTCCCAAGCTAATCGATTCACCCCTCGAAACATAGGAAAATCCACGACCCCTCATTTTATCTGTCAAACTTTCATAGCGAATCAAAACAAACATAGTGTAGTACTAGTTTTTCGACTAGGATGGGGTACGTTAATCGTTTGCTTGGGACCAATAGGCTACACTGAAACAAAGATTATAGTTAGGAATACTATTTTGCAAAAACACTTATTTTCAGTATAACCAACAATCAATACGAAACTAACGATTTTAAATTGGCTCACTACTTGACTAGCCTATTGGCAACTAACTGGCGAAGAAATCCATTTGAATAATGTGGTTCACTGTAATAGAATTTTCTTGGAAGCTTGTGCCATCATCCACCAGACCAGTAGTAGTGGTGTTGCCATGTGGTACACTGAAAAATTGCAATAGCAGGTTAGTCACCAAAGTTTTCGAGCCGCTCCGTCTGTCACTTCGTTTGTGCTATTGGTCCCAAGCAAACGATTAACGTATACCATTCTAATCGAAATTCTAGTACTACGCAATGTTTGTTTTGATTCGCTATGAAAGTTTGACAGATGAAATGAGGGGTTATTCGTTTTTCTTATGTTTCGAGGGGTGAATCCATTAGCTTGGGACCGAAGAGAGTACCAGAGCTGAGCCAAAAAGTTGAGCCAATTTTAAATCGTTAGTTTCGTATAGAGATTGCTAAAGTATGATTGTGTCAGTGATTTGTTTTCATCGGGAAAATTTTCCGCTATGAAGTTTTTTTTTCCCGATGAAAACATTTTGCGTATACGTATACGTGACATGGTGTGCGTACGATAAACGTCAGCAATCTCTATTGATTGTTGATAGTACCAACAATCAATACGAAACTAACGATTTTAAATTGGCTCACTACTTGACTAGCCTATTGGTCCCAAGCAAATCGATTAACGTATCCCATTCTTGTCAAAATTCTAGTACTACACAATGTTTGTTTTGATTCGCTATGAAAGTTTGACAGATAAAATGAGGGGTGATTGGATTTTCCTATGTTTCGAGGGGTGAATCGACTAGCTTGGGACCGAAGATAGTACCAGAGCTGAGCCAAAAAGTAGAGCTCGTTTGTTCGGGACCTACTAGTCTTAGAGTTACCTCTATGATAGTACTGCTTCCACCTCTCAATTGGCAAATCAAAGTTGGCACTCGTGGAGAATAGAAGAACTATGAAAGTGATGATGGTTTCAAAATTTTTCACGGGGAAGTATGCAAATGCAATCTTAAAATGCTTTTATTTTGCAAATGGAGCATTTTGAAGGATGCAATGATGCTGTAGTTGAAGAAACGGTCCTTAATCCTCAACTTGCACATCCTCGCGTTGATCGGTTGCCAACCAATCAAGCGTTGGCGCATCTTACCCAGCACTACAAAGCCGTGTTCCAGCTCGTTGGTGGTGCAACAGCTCTGGTAGAAAGTAGCCGCTCGATGCCCGCTTTTCCATACCTTTTGTCCCGTCCAGCAAAGTTCCTGCAGTGCTACGACTTTGAAGTTGCGTGGTTGAAGTTCGTCATAGATTAACCTATCGGAGCCCGGGAAGCCGAGCGATTTGCGGTTCCATGTTCCGAGTTTCCAATCGTAGTCCTTATTTCGTCGCGTAGGTCTCTGCCGATTGTTGCGAACTTCCGATCCGTATTTCTTTCTGTCTCGCCGGGGGACCATCGTGCACAGCTCTGTTTAGAGTCCCACGCTGGCACTAGAACGGTGATCAGCCGCTCCTAACATGGAGAACAGACGCCGTTTTGAGCCGCACCTCCATGATGAACAGACGCTCAGGTTTGGTGAAGCATTTCCTCTATAACCGTACTATGGTTACCGCGCCAGTGTTCGCGTCGCACCTCTTCACTTTGCTATTGCCGGACTGGCAACATTGCCCAGGCTACGCCACCCAGCTGTGTCCATGTTTCAGCTGGTAGTCTTTTGTTATCATATGACTCGAGGAGGCGTGAAGTAGGAACTTGTGAGGACCAGGACTAGGTATTCCGCTTCTTCCAGGTTGTCAACTCACCATTTTGTAGCTCACTATTCCACTGCAGTAGATCCGGATAAGAAAACCCGAGAATTGCGGAAAAGAGTATTTGAACTGGAGAAGACTATTGCTAAAATCGCAAAAGACATGCGTAATCGCGAAGATAATCATCGTTCTGAAGCAATTCGTAGGCCTGAAGGACCGACATTAGCACCAACCTTGACATCAACCGTAATGCAAACTGGTAGCAGTACGCAAAACATCAAATGGGACAACATCAAACCGTTCCCGAAAGGCGTTCCTGCTAACAAATTGTGGAAAACTTGAATAAAATACTTCGAAAAGTTCGAGTTAGCAGCTTCATTGGCTAATGCAGATGACCTGGTGAAGCGATAAAAAATGCTATACTTATCCATTGGATATGAGTTTCAAGGAATTGTCCGTGCGACCAAGATGCGTCCTGACTCGAATGATCACAGTTGCTATGGGATTTTCGTTGGCAAAAGATTACACTCGTACCTACCTCACCGCGTAAAATTTTGAAACCATCATCGCTCTCGTAGTTCTTCTATTCTCCACGAGTGCCAACTTTGATTTGCCAGTACCGATTAAAAAGATTGTTTACGATGAAAATACAGATTGAAATAAGAAAAAAAAAATATATGTGGCAACACTGCTGAGAAGCCCGAGTGAATCACATACGTTTTTTTTTCCTTGTCGGATATTTTCATCATTGCGACCATTTTTCTGATCTATTGTGATATGTTCCCCATTTTTTTCTTTAGCTACATCAAGATGCCGTATCACTATTATTAGGAGTGATCGCCATCGTTTGACTAATAGCATTATCCCAGCACGGCATTATACCATAGAGGTAAATTATACTTCGAATAAAGTGCACTGCCGTACTGGGAGTTGTTCTCCAAATGTCAAAGGGTTCAATCAGCCCCTTGTCGAAGAACTTACACCTTTTATTGAAAATTGCCGGACAGTGCAGAGCAAATGTTCCGAGTCTTCCTTTTCTATGCCACAGAAGCGACATACATCATCTTAAAGTTTTCCAATCAGCTTCAAGTGATAATGGCTCGGACAATGACCTGTTATAAGACCTGCATATATACTAAGATCTTTCTTAGAAAGTTCCAGGATTTTGTGGGTCACAGAAATGTTTGGATAAACGAATCGCTTCGACTGCCTAGCAATAGAAGTGTTCTTCCAGTTTTCTTCCACTTTTGAAGATTCCCACGCTTTCAGCTCCATTCTAAGAGATGCAGCCGATAAGCCACAAAAGGGCTCTGGCCCGATGAACTTATGAGAAGATCCGAGTCTTGCTAGTACATCAGCTCTTTCATTTCCCTCAATCCCGCAATGACCAGGAACCCAATATAAGTTGACTTGATTATGACAAGACAATTTTTGAAGTGATTGAACACACTCCCAGACAATTTTTGATGTACATGTCGCCGACTTTAAAGCATTTAGAGCAGCTTGACTGTCACACTGACACTGACTGACATGACGCATATATTTGAACTCTTATAGTTTCTACGCAAACATATAATGGAACACTCTAAAATTGCTTGGATTTCAGCTTGGAACACAGTTGGCCATCTGCCCATAGGAACCGATATTTCTATCCCTGGGCCAGTTACTCCTGCTCCCACTTGATTGTTCAATCTTGAACCATCTGTATAAAAAACAATCGATCCTGGACGAAGAACCGGGTCACCAAATTGCCATGAATTACGCCCAGGATTAACTACTTGAAAAAGTCGATTGAAATTGTATCTTTTCTCCATCCAGTCTTCGTTGTTCCTTACCAGAGAGTTGATACTAACAGTTTTTAGAATCCTAAGATGTCCTCTAAGGTCTCCTTCAAAGAGTTTCACTGACCTTGTAATCCTTAGAGCACACTTTTCGGCTTCTAATTGTACAAATTGATTCAATGGTAGCATATAAAGCAAAGCATCCAATGCCTTCGATGGTGTACTTCTCGTTGCACCTGTTATTGAGAGAGTTGTTAACCTTTGGAGTTTTTCTAACTTTCTCTGAGCAACACTCTCTTTTGTTTTTGGCCACCAGACCAATGCACCATAAGTAATCCTGGGCTTCACAATTGCCGAGTAAATCCAATGGATCATTTTCGCTTTCAGTCCCCACTGTTTACCGAATGTTCTACGTTATCACATACGTTAAAAACGACCGACCGAAGAACACGCACCACGAGTTGTATCAAATATATTACGAAAATGGATATTGTGAAGCTTATAAAACACAGCTGAAGCTGAACAGAGAAGCAGCACCGTGTATACGATGTGCATGACGTGCAATGAACCGTTCCAACAGTCTCCGATCAGTATATTTATTCATAACAATCACAAAACAATATCACAATTCATGTTTCATGATCACTGTCAACGTTGCACAGTGGCATCTTCGAGCGGAACTGCGCCACGCCACTTGCCGTCACTGCAGAACAGCGCCGCAACTCCAGCTCCTTCAACTTGGGACAATTGGTCGTCAGTATCACCAGATGGGTATCAGTCAGTGTGTCACAGTCCCTAAGGGTGACCTTCCGCAGGTGGGGTGCATCCTGAAGCCATCCCTGAATGCCATGCTTGATGACCACCCTACGCAAGCTAAAGCTCTCTAAACCAACCATGCTGCGCAGGAATCCGGACGGATGACACGAAGGCTAAAAATGCTTATCGTGTTTGTATTATTTCCAATACAATCAATCAAGGGTACCAACCGGTCTCTCGAACGTCTCCGAGTAGCCAATCGCAAAGCGTCGAATGGAACCGACCAGCATGGGTAGAATTCGGAACATATCCTGCGGGTGCTCCAGGTTCTCCAGTGCGAGACTGTCCAGATTGGGGGCGATATCAGCTATGAACTCCAGCACGCTAATCGGGAACCGACTGCCGCAGATCCGAACCGCCTTCAACGTCCGGATCTGGGAGGGCCAGCGGGGCGTTTCTCTAAAATAAGCCGTCCCTTGGAGGGAAAGTTTCTGAAATTTTTCAGAATTCAAGAAGAAAATTAATGTTAAAAAAATACCAGACTTACTTGCAGGTGCTTGAGATTGGTGACTTCCTTCAGGGCATCTCCGTCCATGTAGTCCAAGCTAAGCTCCAGTACCCGGAGCGAGCTGCAGTTGGCGCAGATCGTCGAGAAAATCGGTGTTCGGATCATGAACTTCGGATGGAGAATCAGCTGCCGAAGCGTGCGAGAGTGAGCAAGATTTTTGAAGAATTTGATGCATTTTTCGACCACATGCTGATCGTGTAGTTCCATCCGATCCACAACGAGGTCAGCGAGCTTGAGGAAGATAATCTCACTGAAGGCGATGAAAAAGTAGCTCGAAGGTGTCAGAAGGGAGATCCTCTCCAATTGGCATCTGTAATCGTTGAGTAAGGTCGCAATGATGGGGTCGTCACATATTAGCTGGATTTGAGTTAGGTTGGGAAATTTCTGCCTAAAGCATTCAGGCGACAATGAAGATCTGCTCGGACTAACCAAACACAACTTTCGGACGTGATGAAGTTCAATTTGCGAATCCGTCGATAAGGCATCCATCCAAACTGGATTACCGTAATAATCGGAAGCCGGGATTTCTCGAAAACCCAACTCCGTGAAACAAGCCCGTTGCGATTCTTGCGGCTTTGATCCTAGCAAATATAACCGCACTAAATCAGGAACACTGCTCAGTAACATCACCAGTTGCACAGATTCTATTCTATCCATGCCAAACAGCACTAAGCTTTCGAGCGCATCATTTGCGCCGATGTTTTCCGAGAGCATATCCATCATTGCAACTGCTTGGTTGTTGAAATTTATCACCACATGCCGATAATTCCTAACACTGTTGCCCAGCGTGGCCACCACCGATTTGAGACTATCCTCCGTAATGTCCAAACTAAGACCTATTCGATCCATGAACCGTCCGCTGAAGGCGAGGGCATTCCACAGTCGGCATACATTCGAGGCTACGAAGCGACTTTTGAAGTCTAGACAGTCGAATATCTCCAGTTGAAGCTGATAAAAGAAGCGATTTAGATACTGGAAAAACATATTTGCCACAACTAGAACTCTTACTTCATTCGGTAGGTCGAAGATTCCAATATTGCAACTTTCAACACCGGGAACAATCATTTTTTCCGAAGTTGGAAAATTAATTCCAACTTGAAATTGATGTAAAGAGTGTAGCTTATTGCGCTGTAGACGAGAAACTACATCTGCATAATCAATGTCTCGCCTCACATGCACTCACTAGTATATGCTATGTCCATGTCACAGCTGAAAACAAGATGTTTTGTATACTACATCAGCTGGCTACGAAAAGAGAGCGGAGAGAATATGTATATAGAATTATGAGGCACATGCGCATGGAAGTGTTTCGTATTTTATGCTGGGCGAGTCCAGTAGGGTGGTTCGAAACTATTAGAATCGGTGGCCACATTATGTAAGACAATCGAAACGACTATTTCATACAAGCAAAACAAAAGTGAGTTGTGTAATATTACGTTGTGCGGTCAGAGATGAACCAGTCAGATGCTGAAAATCTCTTAAATAAAGAAACCAGCCAACTTACGTTGTACGATGTACATACACCGTTTTTGCGAACAAAGTTACATCCACCGATGTAAGACTATTTTTTGCACGGTTACATTTATTTAATTTTCTTGGGCTTGGTTGCATTCAATTTTGGTGTCATTTGAAGACAGTCAGAGAAACTATACACGGCGAATGAGAACGACTCAAATTTGAGTTTAGTTCACTCATAATCGCCAAAAGTGCAGGAACGCAGCGATGAGTTAAATTTATCTCATGGTTTCTTGTGGAAAACCTAACAAATCTGCCGGAAAATGAGGAAATTGACGAAAATTTTATTCAGTCTCGGAGTTGTACCAATAAACTGAGTGAATCCAATCTTTACTTTTCTCAAATTCGGGAATTTTTCCCTGGGAAAACATGTGGCAAATTAACTCATCGCTGAGTTCCTGCACTTTTGGCGATTATGAGTGAACTAAACTCAAATTTGGGTTGTTCTCATTCGCCGTGTACTTACAACCGTGCAAAATAAAAATAATCGGGTGTATAAAGAGAGAGAGAAGGATTAGGCTCTGAACCATTGGCGTTGACGGCACTGTCGAAAAATTTGCTCTTCCAGCAAATGTAGACAGTTTCTTATGGGAATTTTCGGTGGAGCGAAAGGATAGTACACAGTCCGCCATGTTTCACGCACAGTCTGACGTTTGCTTATGGATTTTCTCATAGGAGTAAAGAGCTACAGAGTCGCCGTCAACGCCAATTTTGTGGATTATTTTAACTTTTGGTTAAAATTTGACAGATGGAAAGTTATCGATTAACCCTGCTATCCGAGCATGGTTATTTCTGACAAACAAAAAGTTAAATTTCGACAACCGTGGCTCGAAAACCGGTCGATCGACAGCACAGGGATTTTCGAACATTGAGAATAACTTTCGAAATGTCACTTTTAACCACGAGTTAAATTTAACCAGGGGTTCGACATATAGCTGAATACACGTACTCAACATCAAAACAACAAAACATATCATGGTACCGCTGACAACGTTGCAGATGTTCGGTACGCAGCAAACTTAAGCGATATGACAGCCATATCCATCCCCTGAATTTAACTCGACATATCCGGCAAATGGTTCACAGCCTAAAGAGCCTGAATTTATAAAGAGGCGACATCTTATCCATTTGAAAGGTCTTCTGCTCGAGTGGAATGACTTTTCCTATATGACTTTGACAGATAATCTATTGTTTCAAGAGCAAATTTTCATTACGTCGAATGTAACAAAGGTAAACACAGTCGAGCTATCAGTGTCAATCGATTCTCCTGCTATTACACTATATACTGTCCGAATATAGGATCAAATCCCATTTTAAAATTTATTTACCAGTCAAATTGCTTTTTGACGTAATCACCTTCCGATCAAAATAGTTTTCGATGTTACTTAAGTCACCCAATTTCTATGGAGATGCCGTTTGACTTAAGTAACAGCGCTGAGAAACCCGTGAAAAGTGTACGTTCGTCGTTTCGCTTTCTCATTATTAAAGTGAATAAATCGAACTGTTTGTTGCTAAGATGATTTCCGTGGTCCTAAAATGATGAATGGGCTGCACGTAAGGAGACGTAATTGATAATTCTCCCGAATATCCTGGTAAATACACTTTGACTTAAGTAACAATAGGGGCCACCAAACGACGTATAATAACTTTTGACTCAAAAACCAGTATTTCTTAGCATGAAAGCTAGCGATTTGCCTTTGTATGATTAAAACCCGGCTGAATATGTTAAACATTGCTATCACTATGAGATTATATGTGTTTACTTGGAAATTGGAAATAGGTCATCAAAACAAAACTTTATTTTTCTCGGATTGGTGCGAATGTTACTTACGACATAATGAAAATTTGCTCTTGGTTTCATGTCGTTGACATGCCGTCTCTTTATAAATTCAGGCACTTTAGTAATTTCCATTTAATTCTACATCAGTGAGCATGCATAAGGGCCTATACGCGATGATCGATTCTCTTCGTCGATTTTCTCTTTTGTTAATAACTCGCTAGATTTCGAGGGGGGCGACACATCTAAATCTCAATTCTAGATGCTCAAAAAATCTCACACTAGCGAATCAATCTTCGAAAAATCATCTTTCATTTCTCGCATCTACTTGCATCGTGCTTCATCTTTTTGCAGGAAATCTTCAAAAACGACATAAATCTTCCTTCTATCTACTCAGCGTGCGTGCAGCTAGCCACAGCAAAACACAATCTTTTCTGCATCGTAGATAGAGTCGTCCTCCTCACTAGATTTAACCATAGAGGTAACTCTAAGACAAGTAGGTCCCGAAGAAACGTGCTCAACTTTTTGGCTCAGCACTGGTACTATCTTCGGTCCCAAGCTAGTCGAATCACCCCTCGAAACATAGGAAAATCCAATAACCCCTCATTTTATCTGTCAAACTTTCATAGCGAATCAAAACAAACATAGTGTGGTACTAGAATTTTGACTGGAATGGGGTACGTTAAACGATTTGCTTGGGACCAATAGGCTAGTCAAGTAGTGAGCCAATTTAAAATCGTTAGTTTCGTATTGATTGTTGATTTAACGTTTCTCGGTGCGTTTGCTGTTGCTTTTGATACCCAATACAACCAACAATCAATACGAAACTAACGATTTTAAATTGGCTAACTACTTGACTAGCCTATTGGTCCCAAGAAAACGATTAACGTACCCCATTCTAGTTGAAATTCTAGTACTACGCAATGTTTGTTTTGATTAGCTATGAAAGTTTGACAGGTAAAGGTCGATTTTCGAACGCCTTTGGATACGGTTGTGTCTTGAGTTTCTTCTCTGTTTTGTGCGTGCATTCGCTTTCATAGTTTTCGGCTGCATTTGCCGGATTAGTGCTGGCACTCTGCCTCCCGGACGGTTACACGTGTGTGAGTGGTGGTTTTCTCGCTTTCCGAGAAGTTCTGGATCAACAATAGAAAAGGGCCCATCAGCATTTGTAAACAAACCGTTCGAAAGCCCTTCACTCACAAAGCGAAGGCCACCTACGTAAACCAACACCATCATCGGATAGGGGAAACTTCTACCTATACGATGATGGTGTTGGTTTGTGTGGGCGGCCTTCGATTTGTGAGTAAAATGGGCTTTGGAACGGTTTGTTTACAAATGCTGATGGGCCCTTTTCTATTGTTGATCAAGAGTTGTAGAATCGAGAAAGAAAACATGATTCATCATGTTTGCAAGCAACAGAAGATTTGATGCTATCTGCGTTTGATTTTTTCTCCCGGTCTAGAAATTTTTGGCATCGCGAGTGATAATTTTAATTTTAGTTTATTGACGCGGTGATGATGTTGGTTCATTCGCAACTATTTTTGAAAAAAAATTGTGTTCTCGAACGAAAGTGTACCAAAAGCGCTTCTGAACGTTAAGCTGGGTTTAGATTAGGCAAGTCAAATGATCAACTCAGTTGAATTCAATTGGCTTGAAAAGTTAAGCCTGGTTCAACTTTTTTCAATTCAAGTGAGTTGATCAAGTCAGTTGAATCATAGAGGTAACTCTAAGACTAGAAGGTCCCGAAATAACGTGCTCAACTTTTGGGCTCAGCTCTGGTACTCTCTTCGGTCCCAAGCTAATCGATTCACCCCTCGAAACATAGGAAAAACCAATAACCCCTAATTTTATCTGTCAAACTTCCATAGCAAATCAAAACAAACATTGCGTAGTACAAGAATTTCGAATAGAATGGGGTACGTTAATCGTTTGCTTGGGACCAATAGGCTAGTCAAGTAGTGAGCCAATTTTAAATCGTTAGTTTCGTATTGATTGTTGGTTGAATGGCATGGTTTACACGTTCAATTAGCGTTCAAGTCAGTTGAATTCAACTGACTTGATCAATTGACTTGCCCTGTCTAAACCCAGCTTTACAGTTGGGTGTGGTGAAATTCGTGCATTCCCGGTTGATTGTGGAAATCCATATCACAAAATTGCCCACCGATTCCATTTTTTTTTTGCCGTTCGACGACGACGGGTGTGCTTTCGCAAGAGTGACGTTTATTGGATCAGTTGCTTTGCATGGGTGTGTTTTTTTTTTGTAACTAGCGTGCATAAGTGTGCCTGCGATTTGCATTGGGTGTCGGAGATTGTGAGTAAGCTGAAGGATATCTCGCTGGATAAGCCCAAGTCTGAACCGGCGGTAGCTGGTGGCCGTGAACGGTTCCTGGTACAGGAAGTATTACAACAAAGGTAATTGCTATTAGATATTTTGCAAACAGTGACAGATAGCGGACCGGGCAAAGGTGTTTACACACTTAGAAATGTTTGCAGAGATCTGTTGAATTTTGCCGAAGTCTCAACGGCTGAACGTTCGGTGGGCAGTTTCGCAGATTTCCTGTAGTTTTTCACAAATATCTGTGAATTTTTCACAGATATCTGTAAATAATTGCAGGAGAGCTGTAGAATTGTTTACCGAGCGTTCGGCTGTTGGGATTACGGTGAAATTTTGCAGAAATCTGTAAAATAATCCTAGTGTGTATCCTAGATAAATGGTAAGTTACAAATTCGCTGTTGTCGTTGTCGTAGGCGCCGTCGTAGTCGTAGGCAGTACCGTTAGAATATTTAAAATTAACCATCAACCGCTGAAAATATGAATTATCGCGTATTTCTGTTGTTCATTACATGCCAAGTGAAATTCGAGAA